TATATATATATATATATATAAAAAGAAAGAAAGAAAGAGAGATACGTAGTTACTAACAGCGAGTTAGGCGTTCGCCTTTAGATCTTTCGTCTCTCTTTTACTCTTTGATTTTCATTCTTATTGCAGCAGATAGATAGGAAACGTGGCTGCATACAGAGACAGACGCGTGGCCGCAATCGCAGGACGACGACGACGACGACGACGACGACGACGACGTAGACGTACAACAACTTGGTTGGTATGAGAGGTATAAGTAACGCTTGCGCAACTTATTTTCCGCGAGGTATCTTGCACTACTCTTAGTCACCAACACTATCAATATATAAGAGTGTATTACTATTACTACCACCGCAACCACCATCACCATCACCATCACTACCACTATCAGCTTCACCACAACCACCAATACCACTACTCTATTACTATTACTACTACATCGATTCTATATTTTTCTTCTCTCTTTCTATCCTAATCTCTCGTCTATGTCTATGTCTATTTCTATTTCTATGTCTATGTCGTTTATGTCGTCTCTGACGTAGTCAAACGCACTATACCAAATTAATGCGGCTTATAGAGTATAGACAGAAAGCACGATTCGTGGCACGGCACTCTTAAGCTACGGCTAAATGCCAAGCGTGGTACACAACAATTGATCGAGCCGCTATCCAGTTCTCTACACCCGGATGTCCGAGCCTACAACATTGTCTTTGGTTTGCTCGTGCTGCAGGCCTCGCGTTGTTCTTGCATTTGCTCCACCGAGATAGAGAGAAAGAGAGAGAGAGAGAGAGAACTCTTGATTATTACCCGTTCGACCCGATCGCCAACCTTGATCGTCGCTTAACTATCTTGCCATTTATATCTTCCTTTTTCTTTCTTCATTAATATTTAAAAAAAAAAAACAAAAAAAAAAGAATTAAAAGAAAAAGTAAGACGATGGAATAATATTAATTAATCATGTTTAAGTATATCACGGTTTCTTTTTTTTTTCTTTCGAAATTGATCTTATATCTTTTAGATCATTTTTTGAAATCATACGTCAGAAGACATTTTAATTGTGTTTATACTATAACATTAAGATTATTATCATTATAACCTGGTTTAGAGACAATGATTATTTTATTCTGTTTTGAAATTGCAGAAAAAAATGTTTTTTTCTTTCTTTCAAGGAACGATTATTATCATTTTGTAAGTTTTAGCATAGATTTGGATCGGGAATGATGGAAAGTGGTGACACGAGTCAGCGTCGATTAAGTCGACGCCAAGTTTACTCGACGTTTATAATGCTCGTAAAATCCGAGTGGTATATCGTTTAATCGTCGCTTAAAGAAAACCGTCGTCGTCGTCTTAGTCAACGACGACGACGACGGGGGTACATAACAATGAAGGCAGATATTTACGAGCGAGCAACAAGCAAGGCAGTTCTTTCTTTCCTTTGCGAGTAGAACGGTTCGGGACAGTCGTGATCGCTCTCTCGACGTTCGCCAATTAGGTCGATTCCGTGACGTGAGCTCAGAGGTGGTTGCGAAGGGGATTCGTGAACAACTGCAACTACCTCCCACCCTCCCACCCACTCTCCCACCCTCCCAGTATCCCTTCTATCCATTCTAACGAATTTTCTTTACATTTTCCAATATCCTCGATATCCGACAATTTAATATTTAATCATTCATTGATATAAACCAAATATATATATTATATGTTATTGTTTATCTAAAACAAAATGATCATTCATTTCGTTTGTTATTTTGTGTCGTTTATTAATTGTTATTTTAATTAGAGTAAAACGTGTTGAGATTATAACCTTATTTTATACACAACAGTTCTTTTCATATTAATTATTATAATTTGTTTTGTTTCTTTATCTCATTTTTTTTTTGTTCTATTCATTTTACCAGTCGTTCTTTAACTCTCTCTCTCTCTCTCTCTCTCTCTCTCTGGGTGAATTATTATTATAATTATTGTGTATTTATCATTTAATTGTATAATTTAATTATAACACATAATTAACAATAATAATAATAATATTATTAATAATTGTTATATATTAATTTTTTGTATAGAATACACAGGGTAATATTTCTTTGATTATAATATATCCATATATGTATATATAAAATAATTATTTGACTATTGATATTAGTTCGTGCAATAGAATTATGCATGTGTATCAGCATTAGAACGATGTTTAAGCTCGTTAGATTCGAGCATGCTACATTGG